CATAATTATTGTTGCTTTAAATTAATGGAGGCTATAAAACGATAAAACTGTAAAATTGTAAAATTATAAAATTTTAACCAAATAAAAGATAAAAGTAAAATATTGGACCCCCTAGCGGGGCACCGTGGGACGACGAGGGATCTCGCAGCGACATCGTGGGATGCGTGCGCCTTAGCTTTAAGTTGCGTTCGTTTAGTTTATTTAATCGTAAGACGGTTGTAAATTCAATGTTAGAATAGTTAGTTCTATAGAATGATACGGTTATTGCGAAACAATTTTTATTTTTTCTTTAAATATGTAAAATATTTTATATATTATAACTTAATTATAATTATTTTTAATTTGAACTGTGATTTGTATTTCAATATATTGTGCTTTGGTTTACTTTTCGTCGGTTTTCCCTTAAAACTTCTCTTGCCATTCGTTTGCATAATGAGAAGTATTTGTGAAATTTTGCAATCGCATATCAAAAGGAGTTTCATTTCTTTTTATTGAATAAATTTGTTTTGAAGTTAAAGAATGATGGATGGGACACGGATGGGTTTCGGTATGTAGCAATCTCAACCAGGGCAATCATTGTTATTTGTGATACAATTATTAATTGCATTCCTACGATACAATTATGAATATTTTAACAAATAATATGATCTAATCCGCTGCGAGCACCGTTTACTTTTTATATAATTAAAGGAGAGATCGTTGATTTCTAAAATTATAGATTGAATTTTTTAATGATAACGTATACTGGATTTGTAAACATTGTGGAAGACCATAGACTTTAGATTTTGATAGATATTTTAAAACATGATAGATATTTTGGAACATAATTTGATAAAATGATAGATCTTTCCTATGTCGTCTCCTTTTTGATTAAATATCAGGTCCATTCTAAATATATTTCCCTAAGTATATTTCAATAAATAAAACATCCTGTTATAAGTAATAATTTTATCGTTTCCAACAAAAAACCAATCGGTAAATTCGTAAAACACGAATAGGGCTCTTTCTGACACACACATAAGTACATAATAGAATAATTTTAAATACTAATCTCGTATTTTGGCAATACTGGAAATACTGAAAATTAAACATTTTGCTTGTATCGTTTTACTTGGTATAGTCCTGTACATTTCCGAAATATAGTCCTGTACAATTCAGAGAGTTTGACCACCAGTATGTAATGAACAGAAGATCATATTACTGGCGCATTCACTAGTTCCCAAATTGACCGTTTTTTAAACGTAGAGTGCGCTGAAAAACCAGTGATTTTTTTACTATGTCGGTATTTCAGGTCACGAATCACGAAATCTCGTAAGATGCTTCGTCTATTCATATACCTCGCTCATACCATTGACTAAGAATAGCCACATATAAGGTATATGAATTTTCATATGCTGCCTGTGCTCAGAGTCTGAAATACTTTTTAGGAAAAATATCACTAATTTTTTAGCGCACTCTACGCTTAAACAACGGTAAGTTAGGAAACTACATCAAGTCACAGACGAGGTCTCATCGGTAATGAAGTAAAACGATCAAAGTTGGTCAAGTAGTGAATGCGCCAGAAATATGATTTTTGAAATCAATTACAGTATTGACAAATATTCAATACTGAAATGTGAAGCTAATAATTGAAATCATTCTACTGTAAATCAGAAAGAGCTCTGTCCATGTTTTACAGACTTATCACAATTTTTTTTCAATATAAGGTAAATTAAAATTTTAAAATTATTAATACATAGTTTTTTGTACAAATGATTTATATTTTATTAAACACTCTTAAAAGAAATGTTTAACTAACTAAATTTTCAACTATTTTAAATTATTATTAATATTAAAATATTAAAATTATTATATTTCCTCATTTATATATTTTTTCTTGTATCACAGAAGTTCATATACCTCGTCTGTGTTTATACTTTCTATACAGTTATCTGTGCTTTCTATAAAAACTCTTTGGATAATCTCAGAAAATAATGAATAAAATAATACATTATTTTACGAGTTCAATGTTCACTGAGAACTGAGGAAATGATTTTACTTTCATTTTTTTTTGTATTTTAATTATGTTTGGCTACTTACGTCGTGTTCATCCGAGTACACCGTGGAGAGGGAGACACAATACAATGTCACGCATTATTTCGAATATCTAATAAATAATCGTCCTTCATTTTCATTTATATTCCCAATTTCACCCAATGTGAAAACCTGCGAATCATATTTACAATTACTATTTTTATACTTAATATCACTTTGTCGACTTCTGCATCTAATGTAAAATTAAAATTATCCTGGCTTTTAAAATGTAAAATAAAACAACGAACTCTTTTCAGTTTGTAGAAATTCTTTTATAAATCACAAACAACTCGAGAAATTAAACAAGATACTCGTGCCTCGGAGAGTCAAGAAAGAAAAGATATTGCTCAATTGCTTCTACTTGTTTAAGAGTATAAAATAATTCGTGAGTTATGTGAAATATCAGCTATTACACAATTAGAATATATCCCACTATTACTTTTTCGATATGAATCCACTTATCTACTTATAGCATCAAAGTTACTTTACTTAACAGCACAGAAATGCATTCTATGTTAAAACATATTAAATTTTGCTAAGAATTTTCAATCTAAATGATATTAATAATAGCACAGAAAATTAGAGCAAAGAAGGAAACAATTATTGTTGCATTTGTTGCATGAATCAATCAAACTGTATGCTGCTATTACTATTACGGAGAAGATACCTAGTTTCATGTGGTTACTGAATAGTGACGTACATTACCGATAAAAGTTCATTCAAGATAAAACGATATTGCGAAGATCGTTTTCTATACGAATATGGAGTGGAAAACAGTTGAGGATCAATACTTGAAAGACAACAAATTTTTTTCACAACTTGTTGGTGTGTGGCCCGATCAGGAAAGAGTTACCAAATTTGTTATACGTCTCGTCATACTTATAGTGCTTATTATTGCCGTTATAACTGAGGTATCTTTTTTCTCTTTCGAAATGTGGCAGACCGTATTTTTAATCTGTGGCCTTTGTACATAAGAATTTCTCGCCATGATAGTAATCATTACAAATTTGAAAATGCAATAAAAGTGAATTTCCTATACATTATAGGTATCACGGATAATAGTATTTTACAGCGTGGATGTGCTATTAGATCAGATACTGTACCTGGATATAGGTATATGTAGTTTAATCAAGCAATGTAATTATATTTTGAACGAAAAGAAGGTGAAAAACTGTTCGACATCCCATAATCTTTTCGACAACTATATTTGATATCTTTAAAATTCTAGCTGAAGGAACTTTTAAACAGCATCGTGACCGACCGCTTAATGAAACGACCGAAGGAAGAACTAGAAATTTTCGACATGTACTTTAAGAGAGTAACACTCTTTTCCTCTATATACAAAGGTGATAAAGGCAACGAAGAAAATAGAAAAGCCAATACCAAAAAAATAATTAACAATGAAAATCGATAATTCTACTGCATAAACTGCTAACGTGTCACGTGTCAATGCTGATGGTTAGGCATATCACTATATTGTAACGACGTTGTTAAACTCCGCGTTTTGTATATCCTTCCCCCCACAGTTTGTTATATCCTTCTTTATCATAATTATAACGAATGAGAAATATAATATTTTTGCGTGTATTTCAATAGAAATACTTGACAGTAGAATACATCACAAAATCAGTGAAACTGGCGACGTATGCCAGCTCTAAATAATTATTTCTTTTTTCCAATTTTCTGCCTCTGTCTTCAGTCGGCGTATATTCTTCCGCTTTGATGTTCATCTCCATACCGGCCGTACCACCAATTCTGAACATCATAGCTCCTCGGAACCAGTCACGAGATCGTGAATTCATTCATCCAGCTTACTATTTCGTTGATGAACAGCGATGTTATTATCCAATATTAGCGCATATGGTATCAGTAGTCTTAGTAGTTTCAGCTCTATATATAGCATGTGACATCAATTTGATTTACGTCATACACCATGGGTGCGCCTTGTTGATCATCAGCGGGTGAGTGTACTTTAGTTTACATTCTTATGCGTGATTTTAGATATCGATGCAGCGATGAAATTTCATGTAGAGATATGTTAATTTAAAGTAAGTTTAAGTTTAACAGATCTGTAGCGTAAACAAAAATTGTTTAACTTGAAAAACAAGAACCAAGCGATATTTGTTTATACGGGTGTCCCAGTATTGAAGATAGAGAATGGAGTGATTTTACATGAGAAAATATACGCAGCATCCTGACGAGCTCAGAAGAGATTAATTGAAAATACGTGAACACAATCTTTCTGCGTAAAGTCAAGAAAACAGTGTTTGAATATGTTTAGTTAAAAGTAATTTTAAT